CAACACCTAAGAATGCACCAGGAAACCTATCACCCTCCCAGCTTGGAGAGAAATGATCACCCCACAGGCTTCGAGTACAGAACCCCAGCTGCTTTGGGAGGCCCCAATTTCCACTCTCCCCTTGGAGTTCTATTCTTGCCCTGCTGCCTTACACATGGGCTTCAGCTGTCCCAACAGCTCCTCCCGGGACCACTTCAGCCACTCTCGACGGTCGCTGCTGATGGAACAAAAGATGGGGCTGCAGCCCTTTCCACAATCCTCCAGGGCTGGAACGTTCAGGTAGTGCACAAGGACGATGTCAGGGTTCTGAGAGCACAAGGGTACACACAGAGAGCCATGGGATCCTGAGGTCCAGGGACTCAGCTTCCTAGTCCTCACTTCTTCCTGGGCATTCCCCCCAACCATACCCCTAATTTCTGGCTCTCTCCATCCCCAGCTCCCTTTTTTCTTCCCAGGTCCTTTCCTCACTTAGAACCTAGTCATCCTTCCATTCCATCCTTCCAGACCCATGTCCCTAAAAGAGCCAGGAAGTCCTTACCTGGAGCAGCCAGTAGCAGCGCCGATGGAATGTGGGGACGATGGAAGAGTGAACGTAGCAGCCATAGAGACACTGCCAGGAGACAGGCTGGGGTGGGGGGAGGGCTAGTCTGCTCCCCAACTCTTCCTCTGTTCAGTCCCTTTGCAGGAATCCCAATCTTTCCACCAGTTCCTCTTCAACTCTCCCTCCACCCCCACCTCTTCCCCCACCCCTTTCAAATCTCAGCAGCCCTGATTCATAGATGAAGATTAGAGAGAAGGGACAGTGGGGCTGGGGCCTTACAATGAGGACCAGATTTGAGATATAGGACTATCTAGAAATCAAAAGGCAAAGCAAGAATGCATTTGAGATGAGGAGCAATGATATGGGAAAGAGAAACCTGTGCCTAGAGCATCATTGCTTGGATCTCTGAGGGAAACACAAGAGCAGTAAGGGGACTGGGCATCAGTGTCCTTCCTGGAGGGGAGGCATGACCTCAAGCCTGCAGAGTTGGGTCATGGAGGAAAGTGGGAAGCCAAAATGGCCTAAGCAATCAGTCACCTGACCCAAAGTGAGTGAGAAGGGAAGATGGACTGGGAGGGGGTTGAGGTAGACAATGTCACCAAGCCCTGGCAGGACTAGAGCCCATCTAAGGGGGGAGGAGGGCAGGCGAGAGTAGATGAGCTGAAATGCCTGACTCTCTTACCTCCATGCCCTGGACCTTCAGCTTCATGTGGTCCTCTCGGGTGGTCTTCCCATCCTTCCGCTTTTTCCAGAGGTAACCATCTTTCCGATATTTCACCTTCTTGCGGTTATAGAGGATGATGGAGCCATTCTGAGGCCTGGGAGGAGAAGGAATGACCTTGAGTTCTGTGAACAGGACCCAGGACCTCTGCCACTCCCTATCTTCTTGAACTCTCTCACCTCGTCTTTGGGGCACAGGACAGCCACTCATCATGCTTCTCAAAGGTGATCAAGTAGGATGCAATCTCCTGTAGGAGAGGAGGCACTCAGGTGGGTGTCCCCTTCATAGAGTCTCAGCCTTGCCTCTTGGTCATCCCCTCAGTATCTAACTTTGAGTTGTGGCAACTAGTGGAGGATGCTTCCAGGTATCTGAACCCATCAAGGCCCACTGCCCTCCTAAGAACCTCAGGTTCCATCTCAGATGAAAATCTAACTTTCTCTCTCCCACCCTCCCTCCCACCTGGGGCCAGATCCACATTCTTCATCATCCATTCTTCATACTCTGTATTATTATACTCTTCCCAAATCCCATTTCTGTGCCCCTTCCTGACTACAAAATGTCAATGATTTGACACTGCCAGGAATTTTCAATTCTCTAGCCTGACTCCAAGGTTCTCTCCAACAAAGGATCAAATCACTGTTGCCAGAAGTTATCCACATCACATCTACCATTCCTGCCAGACAGGTCCACTGATTCTTTCCTGAACATGCCCCTGAGCAGTCACCTCCTACATGGTAGTGTCCCACATGCCTGGCTGTGTACACCTCTCCATGTCTGGAAATCCTAGTCATTATATGGACCAAATCTCTTTTCAGGTGCTCCATGAAGTCCTGCTGACTACCTTGGCCCCTCCCCAAAACTCTATGGCACTTTCAATAATCTCATGCACACACACATACCCTTTTACTGATAGTCCTCGTCTAACATCAAATAATTATCAACCAGCAACTATGTATGTAGCACTAAGTGTACAGAATACAGAAGATGTGTAACACAAGAACTGTGCTCTCCAGAAGGAGACAGTGTTAGTGGTGGTTAAAAACACCATCGTCAAGGGATCTGAAGGGAGTTAGATAAGCTACATAAGTGGTCAGTTTTGTCATCAATAACATGGAATTAAGAAGAAGCCATGCTCTATAGCAACCTTAGAGGATGAAATAAGGTAGGCTTAGCAAAGTGCTTAGCAAAGTGCCCAGTGTCTATGGAATACTTTATAGGCAGTAACTGTTGTTTTAACCCAGGTGGATAAGCCAAGGAGGATCTCTACAAGATCTATATCTTTATACTTCTCCTACAAGGATCTCTACAAGATCTATATCTTTATACTTCTCCTATGACCCCCAAAGAGCCTAGAACAGTACTCTGCACTTAGGTGTGTTGATGGACACAGAAAGACCCGCAATGACCCTCCCCCAGCCCACTAGGCCTTGCTAAGCCCTAAGAAAACCTCATTTGTATTCCACCGTAGCCTCTCAGGAGGCAGCAGCGGGCAGCGAGGAAGACACTCCAGCAGCTTCTTAGGGAGAAAGATCTTCAGGTGGTGGCTGTTCTCTAGAAGGAATAGAAGGGAGGGCTTAGGGTGCTATCCCAGCATCTCTGTGACAAATATCTCAGGGGGAAGGGGCTGAAGACAACCCAGAATATTGGGGAAGACCAAAACCTGACAAGGAGAGCAGGGCTAATCTGAGAGAGCCATCACAGGGAGAACAAAGGGCTGTGCCCAAATTGGAAACCTAGTTAATGAACTCACCAGCAACCTCAGTGTTGTCCTTGGTATTCATGGTGAGGGCTCCAGGGGGCAAGGTCACCCCCGGCCTGAGAGGCCGGGGGGAGGGGGAGTCTGTGCTAGGAAGCGAGAGAACAAGGTCATGGCAGAAGCCCCCACATTAATCCGGGATGAGGAGTATGAGGTGGGGGAGGGGGTACATAACTGGGTCATGATATCTCCGAAGGATGAGGAAAGAGAGGAAGGGGCTGTACTATGATGTGACAGTAGAACCAGAAAATGAAAGTGAAGAAAAACCCAGACACAGTGCTGGAAACCAATATGAGTAGGGAGACAGAACAGTGACCTGGAAGAAATGCGTTGGGGTGGGGGAAGGGAGAAGGCTGGCAGAACTGGGGCCTCAGAGGCCCTAAAGCCTGGTCTCTCGAAAAGACTGGGACTCAGGGCATCCGGTCCTTGCAGGATGGTTTGGCAAGAGAGCCTGGATGCTGGGGGAAGGGCAGGAGATTCCATGTCCGGGTGGAGAGGTAGGCCTTAGAAGACACACCCTGAGTTCCTTCTCTATTTGATTTTTCCAAGGGGAAGGGCAGATGTGATAACTGATCCTAACCTACTCTCTCTCCTCCAAGTTGGCTAAGACATGACAGAATCTGGGCTAGACACCCAGGACCCAGCTTCCCACCCTCAGGACAACCCGCCCTCCGCTCTTGAGACTGACGGCCCTCTCCACCTCCCACACCCCTCTCCCCAAACGCCTCTGCCTCCCCTGGCCTCCAGGCCTACCCTACCCCATCTACCGCTCGGGCTCCAGCCTAAGCCTCCGCCCTCCTGGGGGAACAGATGGGAGCTGGAGGAGGCTCTCAGCGTGGGCTCCGCCAGGTGTCCGGGATGGAGAGGGGGAGGAATCCGGTACAGGCTCAACTGTGAGCAAGGAAGCTGGGGCTAGGGTAAGGACTCCGCCCCAGGGCGCAGGTGCGCAGTCCCGGCTAGGCAGTCTGCCAGGGTGCGGAGCGGGAGCGGGACCTGGGCTGCAGGCCCGGGGACGGCGCCGGACTCTGACGCCGGGCGCTCGCGGCGGCCCCCCTCGGCTGCGTGGTGGTCCCCGGAGAACTTCCGAGGTGGGAGGGTCCCTCCCGCACTGAGGGATGTTCTGGAGAAGCCTCGGAGCAGAGTCCGCAGACGCGCGGCGGGCGAGAGACAGCGCGGGTGCCGGGTGCTGCGGTCCCCGGGACAGTCCCCTGGCACGCACTGGTTCGCTGTGGGGCCCTGCGCGGAGCGGCGCCCCCTGGCGCGGGGGAGGAGGACGGAAGCGGGAGGTGGGAGCGAACCCGGAGGAGGAACGGTGGTCCCGGGCGCAGCGCTCCACGTCGGAACCTGGAGGAGCTGCGCCCCCTGGCGCGGGGGCGGAGAGGCGGGCGAGAGGCCCTGGCTCTTACCTCCCGGGGTCCCGCAGGTGACGGCTGCAGCGGCCATTCTACCCCACACCGACCCCCCCCAGCGCCGGCTGACAGCGGCGTCCGACGTCACTGCGCACGGGGCGGGGCCTCCCAATTAAGGGGATGGGGGTCGGGAGGGGAACCTGGGGTCAGCACACGTGGGGTTCTGGGTGGGGCGCTGGGCGGAGGGACTCCGTTTCCACGGCCCTGAGCCAGGCGGAGGGACAGGAAAGTCGTCAAAGGGGCAATAGCACTGAGAGGCAGGATTCCAGGGTCCCGGAGGCGGAAGCTCGGCCGATTGATGTGACTCCCGGGCCGAGAGAATGGGCGGGGGAGGGGTGTTTGTTGGGGCAGCAGTCCAACGCTGGAATCTGAGGGGCTGGGTGAGGAAGGCGGTCTAGGGGGCAGAACTTTTCTCGCTTCAGGCAAGACTTCTTGAAGTTGTGAACCCAGCGCGACTTCCTGTAGCTGGGTTCTCTAGAACGTGAAAGAAGCTCTCCTTCCCCATTAGACTCTTCGACGCTGCTTCCCAGGAAGAAAGACAAATCCAGGTTCCACTTGCTTGCTTTTAAAATAACAGAACAGAGAGAACACAAGGCCAGGAGCAGGGCCTAGAGGAAAACAGGACTTGGGAAGTTCCTGTGAGAGGGGTGAGTTGAGATGGGAGCCCAAGGGGGCTGTAATGTCTAGTTCGGAGGATTGGAAAGGCAGTTAGAGTGGCTTAGGAAGGGGAAATGCCTTCATGTCAGCAGTTTCTAGTGACAACTAGTTCTGGGTCGCTGAGGCATCTTTGACAAGGAATGGTTTCTCCTTACTCCTCAGTCTCCAACTCCATCCCCCAGGGATGATTGTAAAGAGGATTCCTCCTGGCTGTGACAGTGCTGAAGGAAGCCAGAGAGCTCAGCCGCCTGGAGAAGCAAGCTTCCTCCTGGCCCAGGGGACTCCAGGGAGACCAAAGCAGCTGTAAAGATAAGAGAAATTGAAAAAAATAATAGAAATGTAGGTCTTTCTCTAGATTTCCTAGTCCACAAGCCCGGGTACTCCCAAGTCTTTGGATCTCACTTTTTTTCCTTCTCAAATCCAGCTATCCAACCAGGCTCTCAGCTTCCACTGTCTCTCCATAGAAGATCAGGGACCCACATCACCCTCTGCCACTCCACCAAGTTCCTCTCCAACCATACCTGGGCCCTGCCAGGAAAGAGAAAATGGTCCTCTTCCTGTGGATAGGTTGCCCTCTCCTCTTCTAGATCAGGGTACTCAGTGGTTCTGGGGGATCCGCAGCCCTCTTCTTCAGTCACCAGAGGCTCAGATGCAGCCCCAGAGCTGCCCCACTGGGCCTTCTTCAATCTGTGGAGACTTTAGGCTTAGGAGAAATGTGCCTGGAGACCAGGTTTTTTGTCTCTCCATTCTTCACCTTTCTGTTCTGAAATACTTCCTGCTGGTACCCATGGGTGTTGTTATTTGACCTCCAACTCTCCTCTCCCAATTTTCTGCTCCCCTCAGACTGAAGCATTTTCAGTCCAGGGATCCAGAGGTGACCCCTAGCTCCCCACTGTCCTCAAGTTCTATTGTGGGCTTTCCTGTCTTCAGTGATTCAGTTTCTACTCTTTACAATTCATGTAGCTCATCCTCCATCTTGCACTTCCCTCCTTTCTACATTATAAAAATTCTCTTTCAGTCACACCAAGTCCACAGCTCCTTTCCAAGCAATCTCCAGTCCTCTCAAAGCTCTCAACTCCCTTCCTTAGCATAAGCCATCCTGCTCCCAAACCCTGTAACTCCCAGAATCCAGATGGCTCTCAGCCTTCTTACTCATTGATGGTTCTCTGGCGCCTTCTTAGGTCCTCCAGGTGATAAGTGACAGCCCTTACCCGGGCAGGGATGCCCCCAGGTCCTTGCTGCAGTCCCTTCAAATGTGGCCTCCTCTTTCTTCTGCAAAGCATCTCAGGAGGTGGGAGCCTCTCAGGAGGGTATATGCCAAGCTGGGAGCAACCAGCAGCTCTCTGTGCCAAAGAATGGGAGAAAGGAGCTGGAGGAAAGAACCAGATCTTTCAGGGAAGCTTGGACTGAACTAGGAAGTCAGGAGTCTTGGGAAGCCCAGCTGTGATCTGGAAAACATGGATGATTGATTCACAGAAAGGAGGGGCTGGTCAGTGCACTGGTTGAGGAACAGCAGAGGGAAGAGTTAATGAGAGCTGGGGACAGGATGGCAGTTGGTGGAATTTTTGTGAGAAAGCAGGAGTTTATTAAGAAGACAGAAAAGCTCCTGCAGTGGGAGAGAACCTGAAAGAGGGTTGCCCGGGTGCAATTTTTAATAAAGAAGTGTTGAAGGGCAGAGTTTATCATACCAGCACGGGTGGAATGTATTGTTCCTCCATCCAGGTGGGGCTGTGAAACACAAAAAGAGGGTTATAAGTGCAGAGAAGACACTTCATCCATAGTGCTTCTCTAATGACCTCTCTCAATCTCTTTCTGGCATTAGGAGCTACAATGTCCATCAGCAATGGGAAGTTATCACCAGACTAGGGCTTATTGATTTAAAGATTTATGGTAGTTAAAAATTGTACAGCCTCACCTTCCCACCTTCAGTTTCTCTCTATTTCTCCTTCTCTGCTCACCTGGGCCTTTGACTAATGTTCTTCCAGAAGAGATCTCCATAATGCTGGGTATTGTGGGGTATTGGTCTGAGGCTCTGGGAGGGCAAGCTGGGAGGTGGAGATCGGCTGACCACTCTGGAACGCCTGAGGGGAGAACAAGGTAGAATTGGGCTGGCTTTTCCCCTACAGTATCTACTCACTCCAAGAATTCAGGGACCCATCTTTCCATAAGACCTTACAGCTGCCCAGGTTCCCTCAAGCCATATCTTCTCTTAACCATTTCAGCTGAAGAGGATGACAAGGCCTCTGATTTGGAGGCTGAGGTGAGTGAATTGCCTGAGCCCGTGGGTTCGAGACCCACCTGGGCAACTTGGCGAGACCTCATCTCTACAATAAATCAAAAATTAGCCGGGTGTGGTAGTGCGCGCCTGTAGTTCCAGCTACTTGGAAGGCTGAGGCGGAAGGATCGCCGGAGCCCAGCAGGTCGAGGCTGCAGTGGCCGGGAGTGTGCCACTGCACTCCAGTCTGGACCACAGAGTGAGACTCCAACTCAAAAAAAAAAAAAGAAAAAAAAAGAAAGGAGACTGAAGCTGGGATGAGGGTAGAGATTGGCTATTGTTCAAGTCTCAGATCTTACTGAATCTAAAGCTTCACAGCTACAGAAGGCAATATTTAGCAAGTAGAGTTGTTTGAAGAGGAAGACCTTGGCTACTCAGGTGATATGACAGACAGGGTTCCTGTAGGTCAATGCAGAGATGCATGAGAGAACCTTTGATCCTTGTCAATAGGGAGGAGTGTGCAGAGCTATTTTAGAACAGTGCTCAGCCGGGCATGGTGGCTCAAGCCTGTAATCTCAGCACTTTGGGAGGCCGAGATCAGAGGAATGCCTGACCTCAGGGGTTTGAGACCAGCCTGGGCAACTTGGTGAGACCTCATCTCTACAATAAATCAAAAATTAGCCCGGTATGGTAGCGCGCACCTGCAGTTCCAGCTACTTGGAAGGCTGAGGTGGAAGGATCACCTGAACCCAGCAGGTCGAGACCACGGTGACTATGAGCATGTCACTGCACTCCAGCCTGGGCGACAGTGTGAGACTCTGACTCAGAAATAAAAAATCAAAAACAAAAACAGTGCTCATCACTTCCAAAGCTTGCATATTAAATGACCGCCCTCCTGATCTCTAAGAAGTGGTCCCAGGGTTTAGGCTTGGAGGCCCTTTTTTTTTTTTTCAAGAGTCAGAGTCTCACTCTGTCACCCAGGCTGGAGTGTATTCGCATGCTCATGGTCTTCGCAGCCTTGATCCTTCTGCCTCAGCCTTCCAAATAGCTGGAACCACAGGTGTATACCACCACACCCAGCTAATTTTTAAAATTTGTTATAGAGACGAGGTCTTGCTAAGTTGTCCAGGCGGGTCTGAACCCCTGGGCTCAGGCAAGCCTTTCATCTCCGCCTCCCAAAGTGCTGGGATTACAGGCGTGAGCCACTGTACCCAGCTTGGACTTGAGGGCCCTTTATCATTTCCATTTCCATCTCTTGTAAGGTGACCTCACTCAGTTCCATACTGCCAATGTGCTATTGACTTCCAAATCTATATATCCATCCCTGGTTCCTCTCTGGGCTCCACTCAATATCTCTTTCCCAGCCTCCTGTCTCTGGCTGAAATGCACCCCAAATGCCCAGTTGCTAGGGTCAAAAACGTGGTATGTCTCACTTTTCCTCACCTGCCGCATTCATTCTATTACCAAGTCCTATCAGTTTTACATGTAAAATACTGTATACCTGGATTTGACCACTCATCATTTCCACTCCTACCACCATATTCCAGGTCATCTTCCCCTCCCTGGACTATTGCAAAGATCTCTTCCTCCTCTCCCTGCTTCCATACTCATTCCCCAACAATCTATTCTGAATAAAACATGCAGAATAATATTTTAAAACATGACATGTGAGATGATATAAGGTTTGAGATGTACTACAAAATAATTTGGAAAGTACGAGGCTAGATGAGTATAGAGATGAAAAGCTTATCTATATAATGATAATTATTGAAGCTGACTGAAAATGGTACATCAGGTTCATGATACTATTTTCTCTACTTCTGTATTTTTTGATATTTTCCATAATTAAAAAGTTGAAGGAAAAAAAAACCGCTCATAACCTTCTACTGAATTCTACTATCTTTAGAAGAAAATCCAAACTCACTTTTTTTTTTTTTTTTTTTTTGAGTAGGAGTCTCACTCTGTTGCCCAGGCTGGAATGCAGTGGCATGTTCATGGCCACTGCAGCCTTGACATGCTGGGCTCAGGCAATCCTTCCACCTCAGGCTTCCAAGTAGCTGGAACTACAGGTACTTGCCACAATGCCCAGCTAGTTTTTTTATTTATTGTAGAGATGAGGTCTTGCCAAGTTGCCCAGGCTGGCTTCGAACCCCTGGGCTCAGGCAATCCTCTCATCTCCGCCTCCCAAAGTGCTGGAATTACAGGAGTGAGCCACTATGCTGGGCTTTTTATTTAAAAGATGGTTTCTAGCCGGGCTCGGTGGCTCAGCCTGTAATCCCATGCTTTGGGAGGCTGAGGTGAGTG